TTTACACGTTTGAGCTCCTGAGGCTTGAACCTTCAGGAAGTCTCAGGCGGGGGCCGTGTCTGTGTGTGAATTGAAAGGAAGGTTCAGGCGGGAGCCCCAGCATGTCCGACCAATCCCAACCGACTGGTACCAATTACAACCGACCTGGCGACTTCTCAACTGGCCAAAAAGCCAACAGGTGCAATTTACAACCAGCCATCTTGAATCGACAATGGGATTCGATGTGTACAGCGTTATAGGACGATTCAGAATCAATTGCACGTCTGCAGTGTCGACATTTCTTTTTGGAATCACCATGAGTACCCCAGCTGGAATTGGTACTAGTTTACTTTCTGACACTTGGGAGCTGCGTTGTGCTGAAACTAAACAGTGGTCGTCAATTTGAATGAGGCTTTACGGTTGACGTATGAGAGCACGATTTCTTTCGCACGACACCTGCGTAAACATTCGCGTTGCGTGACTTTCACGTGAAACTGCGGCATGTCCATCAGCGAGCAGTGCAATATTCGAAACGAAGTGCGGATATCTACGGCTTCAGACCTTGGGGGATTGCTTGTCTGATGAGGGCGGCGGTGCTATCCATGGCCAGTGCACGATTGGAGTTCCACCGGCGTCCAGACCCTGGGTTCCTCATCCAATGGTTCCTTATCTAATGCCCTCACCGTATCAGAAAAGCAGACAACTCCGAATGAGAAGCCCATCGCGCACGTATGGGCACTGTAAATGTTCAGCGAATCCAGACGGCAGGCTTCATGTGTGCAAATGGCAAGAACGAGCTTTTAGCAGCACCCGGCTCAATTCGATAAGAGCTTCTCCGTTTAAATATATGTGAATGCAATATAAATTCATTGACCCCAGCCTCCCGCATAATTCTGAAATAGCCCATGCGTTTTATTTTGGAATGTGGTAAGACATGTGCCGGCCACAGCCTTCCGCCGATATGTTGAATACATTTGTTCTCAATACGACATCTATACGAAACGCGTTGATCAAAGCCTCCCGCTGAATGTTTTCTCATTTTATGTTTGTTCCAACTTGCATTCAGTAGGGAAGTGGGGACCGAACGACTCGGTGGCGGGAAGCGGGGGCCGAACGACTCGGCGTCTGCGGCGGAGTGCAAGACGACTCGTTCGGCCACCCTCTCCCTCCCCACGCGTTCGGGGGCCCCCCGAACTCTCGACCGCACGAAACGCGTCCATTGGAAGCGTCGCCTTCGGGGGCTCGGAGAAACCCGCGCCCGCAAGAAAGGGGGCGGGAACCGAACGACCCGGTGGCGGCAGCGGGGGGCAAAGAGTGCACGGAACGTTGCACTGAAAGCGTCACCCTCGTGGGCTTGGATGGCCCCGCGCTCTCAGAAAAGGAAGCGGGGGCCGAATGATTCGGCGGCGAAGGGGAGGGGGGCGAAGTGACCGTTCGGCCACCCTCTTCCCTCCATGGATTCAGGGGCTCCCCGAGCTTCCGATGGCACGAAGCGTTTCCATTGAAAGCGCCGCCCTCGGGGGCTTGGAGAACCCCGCGCCGCGGCAAGGGCGCGGGGGCCGAACGACTCGGCGGCGGCGGCGGACGGCAAGGTAATTCTTTCGGCCTCCCTCTCCGCCCCATGGGCACGGGGCCTCCCCGCCTTCCCGAATCTGGGACACTTCCGTTTGACCCGCTGCCCTCGGTGGCTCGGATAATTCTCGCGCCCGCAAGCATGGAGGCGGGCACCGAACGACTCGTCCCATGGTTGTGCTGGTGATTGTGCGGGCAGCCCTCTCTGTCCGTCAAATCTACGCAGCAGAAGCATGGCTGTCCAGAACCCCGCCCGCCCTGCTGGCGCAGCTTCTACCGGCCCGCGCAACCCACCCATTTCCAGGAACCCGTCAGGAACCCATCGGGGCTCTTCAGGAACCCATCAGGAGTCCATGAGGGGTCGTCAGGAATCTCCAGGAACCCATGAGGAAACGATCAGGAATTCATCAGGATCCATGGGGGCTCCGTCAGACATTCATCCGGAGACCATTCGGAATCCTTTCTGGCATTCCGGAGGAAATCCTAAGGATGATCCCGGAAAGCACAAGGAAGTCCTGGGGAATTCCTCAGGCGTCCGCAGGAATCGCGAGGAATGCTTGAGGAATCTTCAGGAACCACGAGGAGTTCTTCAGGAAGGATCTGGACGGAACCTCGAAGGAACCTTTTCTACGGAGCCTCTAGAGAGCTTCCAAAGCGGTTGGAATTGGTACCAAGTGGTTGGGGTTGGTACCGACATGGTTGCAATCTGTCTTAGTGGGTTGTGATTTGTTCCGTTTTCGGGACCCCCCGCCCTGTGGAGCCCGCAGTTCATGTTTGTTCCATCCCAAAGGGGGGCATAATTGTCGTCACTTCTGGGCCCTGAAATACGAATCTTCAGGAAATCTCAGGCAGGGGCTTGGTCCAGGAGTGAACGGAGGACGTCTCAGTCCCTATGGGGCACGCGCGCCGTGTTTTCATTTCCAGGGGTCATTCGCAACTTGTTACTGTCGGCACTTGGAGCGCCTGAGGCTTGAGTCTGGAGGAAGGTTTGCGCGGGAGCTTCGTCAGTGAGTAACTTCAGTGGAAGTCTCGACTGGGAGCCCATGTCGTATGGGGTTCGCACATCGCATGTTTTCACCCCCAGGGGGCTCTTCGAAACTTGTCATTGTCGTCATTTTTTGTTGCCGAGGCGTGAGTATGGAGGAAGTCTGGCGCGGGAGCCTCGTCTGTGAGTGGCTTGTGAGGAAGCCTCGGGCGGGGGCCCACTCCCTATGGGGCCCGCACATGATATGATTAATCCCAGGGATGGGACGGGAAAGGAGGTAAGGATTATGTTGGGACAAACGCAGGAGGTGCTCAAGGCGGGGTCCGACAGTCGGAGTAATTCGACTAGCGCAATCGACGCGCAGATTCCGCAGGAGGCGGGCGATGGTATGTGAACGAATTGCGGGGAAGTCTCATGCGGCAGACCCCTCCATATGGGGCCCGCATTCCATGTTTTTTTCCATCCCAGAAGAGGCAGAGCTGTCGTCACGTTTGAGCTCCTGAGGCTTGAACTTCCAGGAAGTCTAAGGCGAGGGTTCTGTATGTGAGTGATTTGCGAGACAGTATCACGCTGGAGCCCCCTCCCTATGGTGCCCGCGCTTCACCATTTTGTTGGGTCCTTGGGGGCCATTCGAAACTCGTGATTATCGCCATTCTTGGGCCCCCGAGGCTCGAATCTTCAGGAAGTCTCCGGCAGGGATTTGGTGTAGGAGTGGGTTGTGGGGAAGTCTCAGGCGCCCCCTCTTTATGGGGCACGCACCTGGTTTTTCTGGTTTTTCATACAACAAATCCCAGGGCGATCGTTCGAAACTTGTGATTGTCGTCGCTGTTGGGCCTCTGAGGCTTGAATCTTCAGGAAATTGGAAATCTCAGGCAGGGGCCTTGGTCTCTGAGTGAATTGCAGGGAAGTTTCGGGCGGGAGGCGCTTCCTTATGGGGCCTGCGTTTCATGTTTTTCATCCCAGGAAGTCAGTTGAAACGTTTAACTGTCGTCCTTCTTGAGCTCCTGAGGTCTGAACCTTCAGGAGTTCTCAGGTGGAGGCCTTGTCTGTGAATGAATTGCGAGGAAGTCTCAGGCGGGAGCCCCCTCCCTGTGGGTCCCGCACATCATGCTTTTTCATCCCAAGGGGTTTTTCGTCATTTGTAATGGGCGTCGCTCTTGGGCCCACGAGGCTTGCATTTTTAGGAAGTCTCAGGCAGGGGCTTTGTCAGCGAGTGAATTGAGGGGAAGTCTCAGGCAAGCGCCCCCTCCCTTTGGAGCCCGCACTTCATGTTTGTTTCATCCCAGGGGAGCCGCTCGAAACCCGTAACCGTCGTCATTTTGTGGCCCCCGAGGCTTGAATCTTCAGGTCGACTCAGGGAGGGGCTTGGTCTAGGAGTGAATTGAGGAAGTCTCGGGCGGGAGCCTCCTCCCCATGGGGCCCGCACCTCACGTTTCCAATCACTCGAAATCTATAACTGTCGTCACGTTTGAGCTCCTGAGGTTTGAATATGGAGGAAGGCTTGCGCGGGAGCCTCGTCAGTGAGTAACCCGTGAGGAAGTCTCGAGCTGGGGCCCACTCCCTATGGAGTCCGCACATAGCATTCTGAACCCCAGGGATGGGACGGGAAAGGAGGTACAGATACTGTTCAGACAAAACGAAGGAGATGCTTAAGGCGGGGTCCGACCGTCGGAGTAATCCGACTAGCGCAATCGACGCGCAGATTCCGCAGGAGGCGGGCGATTCTCGTGGTTGCCGTGGCCGAATGTCGCTCGCATCTCTTGTCCTCGGTGAGGTCCCCGCTCGACGCAGCGTAGGTCCCCTTCCCTGCATGCCTCCAAACCTGAGCCTGGCTCTCCTCGATATTGGGTGTCCTGGGTGCCTATCTGCAGGGGTGATGTGAAGAGGCCTGGGGTGGGCGGTCTGACCAGGGGGTCTCCGGTGGGTTGGCCGGCGCTGATTCGGCGGGCAGCGGCCAAGCGCGCGCGGTGGCCACGGAGCAAACCCGGGAGTGGCACCCTTGGTGAAAAATAGTTCACCTCCCGAAGGGTTAGGGCTACTGCAGCTGTGAATCACACTGGGAGCCAGAACATTTGCGCCCGTGGATGCACCGATGCCGCGGCCCGGCCGCTGCCACGGTCCCCACTGCCGAGGCTGGCCGCGCCAGCGCACTCCAGATGGAAGCCTTCCGCCTCTGAGTGCCCGCCCCCGCCTCCTCCCTCCCCCTCCGCGGCCGCCCTGTCCGTCTCGGTCTCTCCTCTTGCACGCTGGGCAACTCGCTTCTCGGTAGCCCTGTGTAGCCCGACCGCTGGCGCAGTAACTCTGCCTCGCCGCCGACGCAAAAAAGGGAACCAGAGCGTCAATTCTTCGGTTGCCCCTGGGGCATTGGGAATGACAGCAAATCATCTTCGTCGTTTTGTTGTTGCTCGTGCCGCCGGGGGACTGGAGTCCGCGCACGCCCTCGCCGCCGCCGCCGCCGCGCCAGGTGTGACGGGGGACCCCGACTCTGGGGCGACTTCTGGCAGCAGCACGGCATCCGCGACGGTCGAGCGAGACTTCCCGCTGAGGAGGAGGAGGAGGAGGAGGAGAAGGAGGAGGAGCAGGAGGAGGAGGAGGAGGCGGAGGAGGAGGAGGAGGAAGGAGGAGGAGAGAGAACAAGCACTCATGGTTCTTTGCCCGCGCGGATTTCCTGCGTTTGGCGGTGGGGCCCCCCTGGCGGTGCCTCCGGCGCCGCCGCCCCGGGCACGGTTGCAGCGCCGACCCTCTGCAGCAGCCTCTGCAGCAGCGCGTGTTGCAAGGTCCTGTTCTCAAAGAGAATGCCGAGCTGTTTGGCCCAAATCACGAGGAAATCTTGTCATTGGCGACCGTGTTTAAATATTTATATGAGCATTGCATCGAGAAGGATATTGAGGTTCGCACCGAGACCAGGTGCCTCTGCCGACCAGGCAGGGCACCTGGTCTCGGTCGTCCTTCCCTGTCGCGGCTCCCACTGCTCGTGTCGAGTCGGGCGTGTCCCTCTACGGGAGGAACGTTCAAAAACAGTAGAAAGAAGAGTCTGGGGACGATTTTTCGAGTATGTTTGATCATGTTTGGGCATTGGTTGGCTATTTTTAAATTTTCGCTTGAAAACCGCCTGTAGGGGGACATGCCCGACCTGATGCTCGTGCTTCTGTTCGTGCTCCACCTTCCTTCCTCCCCCTTGTTCTCTATCCCCCTTTCCCTTCGCGTCCTCCCTTCTCCACGTCTTCCTCCGTTCTCCTTGTGCTTCTCCTCAGCCTCATGCTCCTCCACCTCCTCCGCCTCCGCCTCTTCCGCCTCAACCCTTCTCCCAGAGAGGAAGCACGCCATACCTTAACATAAGCTTTCGGCACTCCGCGCGGATTTCTTGGATCCGCGCTGGGCCCCACCGGCGGCGCCAGGGCGCGCTAGGGAGGGTGGACCCCAGCGCAGATCCAAAAAATCCGCGCGGAGCGCCGAAAGTTTATGTTTATGGCGTTTTTTCTTCTTCTATTCTGAAGCACCTCTTATCATTCTGCATCCTCGTCCTTCTCCTGTCCCCCGTCTTCACATGAATAGTATTATCCTGTTCCCCTGGGTTCTGTCCGAGCGGGGCCCGTTTGGTCCCGAATGTGTTTTTTGTGATTCCGTTCGGGCTTCAAACGTTTCTTGAGCCCGCAGAGCGGGAGTCACGGCGGGCCCCCATGGGCAAGCTTGCACGCAGATTTTTCCAGTCAGTGGGTGTTATGGATATTGCCTCGACGAGGTCGGCACCAATCGTTGCAACATTTCTTTAGGGCGTATTTGCGCCACTTTGGGGATCAGGCTGATCTGGAGGCCAGTTAGGGCCCTGTTTGGATACATGGGGCACAACGTGCGTGAGGGGTGTGCCGAATTGAGGCTCCAAGGAAGGCGCCGTCTCGGAGGCCAGCTGAGCGCCCAACATTCACGACGTGCTTCAAAAGGGGGGGGCAAGTAGCTCGTAGTTTCACATACTTTTAGGTCTCCTGGGAGCCTCGATTGTACCGAAATGGCATTCCCGTAGCCATGAGGGAAATGATCACTCGCAATCGTGCGCGTCCCATAATAATGTTAGAGGAAATGCGTGAAGGGTGCTCCGAAACTAACCTTGCGCAGCCCTGAGGTCTCATCTCACTCCTGTTTTTACGTGTCACAGGAGCTGTCACGCGCGTGGGCCTAGCGCTGGGAGCACGTAGCAGTGCCCCCCCCCAGGAGAATTCAGGGAACAGGTCATCTTGAGGCCGGCGGAATGCGGGAGGGGAGGGGGGGCGACGGAATCCGCGAAGCCTCTTTTAGCATGCCTCTTGCATGCTTCTCACTCCCCTCCATTTCATCATCATCATCATCATCATCATCATCATCATCATCATCATCATCATCATCATCATCATCATCATCATCATCATCATCATCATCATCGTCCTCATCATCATCAGCATCATCATCATCAATCATCATCAATCATCATCATCGTCATCATCATCATCATCATCATCATCATCATCATCATCATCATCATCATCATCATCATCATCATCATCATCATCATCATCATCATCATCATCATCATCAATCATCATCAATCATCATCATCATAATCATCATCATCATCATCATCATCATCATCATCATCATCATCATCATCATCATCATCATTAGCATCATCATTAGCATCATCATCAGCATCATCATCAGCATCATCATCAGCATCATCATCAGCATCAGCATCATCATCATCATCAGCATCATCCGCAGCATCATCATCATCATCACCAACAACAGCATCTCATCATTTACCAGTGACGCCCAACAATGCGAGGGCCCGCAGGGGACCCGCCGAATTGAATCGCTTCGCCCATTCCGCTGGCCCAGACTATTCCATCGTGGGCGTTTGCCCGCGTGGTCGTTGCCACTGCGGTGGTGGTAGTTTCCTTAAGTATTGCGTGAACTGTCATGGGCGTCTCGGGGTAGAGGGCTCGAAATGTCTGTTCGTGCCCCTTCTCTTGGGCCCTCTTGCACTCCCCTTGAGGCCCTCTTGGGCCGTCTTGGGAGCCTCTTGGGGGCCCATTCCAGCATCGTTGGCACTTGCCTGCGTGCTTGCGGGGGCATTTTAATGAGCCTTGTGGGGCCTCTTGGGGGCATCTTGGGAGCCTCTTGGGGCGTTTGGGGGGGTCTTGTTGGGGGCCTCTGTGGGGGCCTGGGGTCCTCTTGGAGGTTTCCTGGGGTCCTTCTGGGGGCTTTCTGGCAGTGGTGTGGGGGGGCATATGTCGGAAAGGGCTGAGAAATTTCAGTTCGGGTTTGCCCTCTTCGGACCCTCTTGGAGGGTTTGCAGGCTTCTCGGAAGGCCTCTGGGGTCGTCTTGGGGCCCTCTTAGGCGTCTCGTGGCCGTCTTGGGGCCTCATGGCTTGAATTGTGGCCATCTTGCTGGCTGAATGAGTCGTCTTGGGTGGTCGGAGGATTGAAAAGGCGGTAGCGCAAAAATCAGTCAAAAACCAAAGCATAATCAATAACTTATTGTTTCTTGGGGGCCTCTTGGAGACTACCTTGAAGGCTTTTAGGATTGGATGGAGACCAACGTGGAACCTATCACCCATGGGCCCGATTCCAATGACGTATTGGAGCTCCCCTGGGATCTTTCGGGGTGCACCTGGAGGATCTGAAGACCGCACCTGGGAATCCCAGCATGCGTGACACACCGACCGCCCGGGACTTGCCCAGGGAGTGCCCAGGACCTGCCCGAGCACCGCCCCGGTAGTTTTTCGCGTCGGGACCCCCAGGAGCCGCCACGCGCGCGCGAACAAGAACAATCGAACTTCTTATCGACAATTGTAGCACGCCTCTGGCCCGTTGGGCAGGCGAATTTCCCAAATGTTTGTCACGAGCGGCATGTTTCTGAGTTTGGTCGATGGTGCTCCCGCTGCCGCGGTGACTCATTTCAGGATCGTTGCTTTGCTCTTGTCTGTCAGACTGGCCCTCTCGCTTTTGTGTGGGGGGTCCAGCGCCGATCCGAGAAATCCGCTCGGACCTCCGAGTTGTTCTATGTTTATGTCATTGTTCGTTCCCCTATCCTCCTCCTCCTCCTCGCCCTCCTCGTCGTCGTCGTCGTCCTCCTCCTCCTCCTCCTCCTCCTCCATCTCCTCCTCCTCCTCCTCCCCTCCTCCTCCTCCTCCTCCTCCTCCTCCCTCCTCCTCCTCCTCCTCCTCCTCCTCCTCCTCCTCCTCCTCCTCCTCCCCCTCCTCCTCCTGCCCTCCTCCTGCTCCTGCCTCCTCCTCCCCCTCCCCTCCTCCTCCTCCTCCTCCTCCTCCTCCTCCTCCTCCTCCTCCTCCTCCTCTCCTCCTCCTCCTCCTCCTCCTCCTCCCCCTCCTCCTCCCCCCCCGTCGCCTGGATGGATCCGAGTCCTTGCTCGTCGTTGGTGGCCTCCTCCTCCTCTCCGTGGCAGAGGCGCCCTGCTGCTGCGCTGCTGTGCTCGCGCCCCTTGGCTTCGCTCGGGCGTGGGCAGGTCCCTCGGCGAGGCCAATGTCGGAAGACCTGGACCATCTACAGTTAAGTCGCGCATGTCCTCCTACAGGCGACTTTTGACAGAAAAATGCAACATAGTCATAAACATCAAAACTCAACATAAAAGATACATTTTTGCAAAAAGATCAAAACTCTTGAACACATTCAAACAATACTCAACAAATGCACTCAGGAAAAAAAAAAACGCATGCCCATGCCCATGCCCAGAAACACCCTGCTTGCCTCCAGGGTGCCCTGGGTTTCCATGGTTTTGCCATGGAGAGCGCGACGTTCCCCCACGCTGGAAATCGAGGGACGTCCTGGAGTCTCAGGCTTGGGTGTCTTGTGGAAGCTCTCCTGTGGGCTGGCCTCCACTGCAGGAGCAGCTCGGGCAACCCTGCGAAAAAAAGAGCACTCGGCACGAGAGCGACAGACAGAGGC